ATTAATTAAAATAAATCAGCATTGTTACATTAGGTACCTCTTGTTGTGAATGTAAAAATCTTTATGACAAATTTAACATTCAATTTACAGGGTGTTTTTTTTTTTTTTTTTTTTTTTTTTTTTTACTTGCATCTTTATTTATGTAAAAACCACAATAGATAGAAATATGCAGTTTGCGGGATTCATCTATTGACGTAGGGGGCCCAATTATTTTGAATTCAACGTTACATTCACATTCCCCCCTCTCCACCATGCCCCAACTTATTTTTTATAGCAAGGTACCCCTTGTGACATATCAAATGAAAGAGCACGAAAAAAAATGTTTTGTAAAAAAATTGAAAATCAGCTCATGAACTTGTGAGATAATCCCCCGTTTTCCCCCTGCCCATTACTTGTTTTTAAATAGCAAGGTACCCCTTGTGACATATCAAAAGAAAGAGCACGAAAAAAATGTTTTGTAAAAAAATTTAAAATCAGCTCATGAATTTTGGAGATAGTCCCCCGCTTTCCCCCTACCCATACTTGTTTTTAAATAGCAAGGTACCCCTTGTGACATAACAAATGAAAGAGCATGAAAAAAAAATGTTTGGTGAAATTCATTTTTCATTTGATATGTCACAAGGGGTACATTGCTATTATAAAAAAAGTTATCGGTAGTGGGAAAGGGGGGGGGGGTTATGTCACAAATTCAAGAGCCGATTTTCAATTTTTTTCTCCAAAATATTTTATTTTTTCATTCTCTTTCATTTGATATATCACAAGGGGTACCTTGCTATTGACAAACAAATAAGTGCCGAGCAGGGGGGGGGGATATCTTTCAAATTTATGAGCCATTTTTTTTTTTTCACTAAACATTTTATTTTTTCATGCTCTTTCATTTCAAATATCACGAGGGGTACCTCGCTATTTAAAAAAAAAGTTTTGGGCAGGGGGGGAAGGGGGGAATGTGAATGTAACGTTTAATTCAAAACAATTGGGCCCCCTACGTCAATAGATGATTCCCGCAAACTGTATATTTCTATCTATTGCGGTTTTTACATAAATAAAGATGCAAGTAAAAAAAAAAAAAAAACACCCTGTATGTTTGCATTACATCGGTATATTTAAAATCACTAGGTATGTGGCCTCAGGTCCACAAATGTTCGGAGTGAACATAGTGTAACAAGTAATCTTATTTCTAAATGATTAATTCATAAGGGATTCATACAACTTTCAATGGTCAATGAAATACTTTATTTTTTTGAGAATCTAATTAATTTTAACAAGCAATCTTCTTGCGTCTTTCCATCTCCTTTTTTGTCCTGACGATTTACTGTTCTTGATTAAATAAAATCCATATAATTATATCTCCTTTACTTCTTCCTCCGGACTTCTTTTTTTGCTATAACTTGTCGTTTAATGATTTTCGTCATATGTAAGTGGATAATTGGTAAAATTGCATGTTTCTTATATAATATTTAGACAAAGGTTAATTTTATAATTACTAATTAATTACAAACAGACATTGTTTGTTTTGAGCTGCCATTGATATCATATAAATATTACTTTATTGCAAAAAAAAATATTAAATTTAGCCGACATTGCTTGACTCAACCGTTTCCAAATAAGACAACTAGCATAACCAACTTAGAACTTAACAATGAAGTGAGGAGTCTATGATAAAAATGTTGTAAATAACTAAAGTCGATGACAAATCACGTTTGTATCATGTTTGTATTTGCATAGGAGGATTTAAATTAAAGTAGATATGAATTTTGCCAATTAGGTCGAATGTTGACTGGTTTACAAACGCAGGCTAAGATTCTCTGTTTACTTTTATATAGCCCATTGGTAACCATCATGGAAACCCGTATGCCTAATACTCCCTACACTTACTATTTTAAGCTATATTTAAATCGGACATACGTTATAAAATTAGGATTTGCTTATTACAAAGTTTTCACTGTTTTCTTTTTAAATAACCTTGGTTTGGTTAAGATACGTAAAGCCATAACTGAGTAACGAGATTACAAAATTCGTATAAGCCTCTATTCCAAAGAAATGACTAGACAATCTGTTATGTTCGTGCATAGCAGGCCCACAAGTTTTAAACATTTGTTCATGATGATTATTGATTGATCTTTAATGCGTATAAGTACATGTAGCTAATGTTAAAGAAGTGTTAAATAAATTAAAACCTCGTTGAAGATTGGCATGGCTCCCAAATTCATGTTTTGTGTGGTTTGAAGATGTTAAATAATTTGTTAGATGATATTTTAAATAACCTAATACTGTGCAAAGGAGCATAGTTGTGGCTGGAAACTCCTCAGATCTACAATTTCATTTAGACGGTACAAACATTTCTGAGTGAAAACAAAAGTGTAGATATATATGCAGCCAAATGATATTGTGAATAAGATTAAATGTGTCATTTAATCAGTTTCAGTACTTTTTCACTCCCTAACTTATTTTAAGTGAGGTGCCTAACTAATTTTTACAAAAAATACAGCATTCGATTCTCAAACCATAAACACTCCAATCATCCTTTAAACATGATCTAAAACCGTTTATTTCTAACAATAACCTCTTATACTTCATTCATATTCTGGGGGGATTTAAAGTGGTTCAAGGGCTGAAGTTCGCTCAGAATTGACATCAGGAGAGGCAAACAATAAGATGGAGTCAGCAAATGGAAATAAAGAGTCGAGGGACTCGGAGCCTCTGAAGCGGCGCTTTCATTTGTAAAGGAATCACAGTTCGTATGTTTGTACAGTCCATTTACAAACTTTTCAATCCCGGCTTACTTTTGAATGCCCTACTTGAACATAGCTAACGGTTATAGAAAATAAGAATGACATGTTGAGTATGTAGGACTATAGATAATAATTTCTGAATAAAGTTTGTACAGTCCATTTACAAACGTTTCAATCCCGGCTTACTTTTGAATGCCCTACTTCAACATAGCTAACGGTTATAGAAAATAAGAATGACATGTTGAGTATGCAGGACTATAGATAATAATTTCTGAATAAAGTTTGTACAGTCCATTTACAAACTTTTCAATCCCGGCTTACTTTTGAATGCCCTACTTCAACATAGCTAACGTTTATAGAAAATAAGAATGACATGTTGAGTATGTAGGACTATAGATAATAATTGTAAGATAATAGTTGTGTTTACAAACCCAAATAATGTTCTCTATAATAAATTATTTTAAATATCAAAATCTTAAAATATCTGTGTGTGAAATTATCCCAATCCGTATATTAGAAACATGGTACGCTTTCTCTGGTACACAAAATACTAAATTTTATACTATATTTTTTTATATATTTTTTTATTATTGTAAGCAACACTACAATAATGGCAATTATATTTGTGAAAACGCCTCTGATGATAATCCCTATAAAAAAAAAAAATAAAAAAATGGTAATTACATTAATCAATTTTATTTGATTTTATTACGTTTGTATTATATACAACAATGTAATCAAAATAGTACTGCTGCAATTACATGTATCACTATTATGTCACACTTGTCTAATCAACACACAAGATGACTACACATCGCATTAAAGCTTGGTATAAATAATAGGAATTGTTCACATAAGTCAGTTTATACATGTAACTAATAAATCGTTTTAAACATAGGGTTGTCTCTATAAATGCACTTTGTTGTAATTTTAAAGATTTAAATGACTAGAAAACTTTTAAACAATGGTTTTATTCGTTTTGAACACGTTTTGATGTAAATGACATAATATAATTTCATAATTAATATTGATATTTATCATATTTTATTGAAGAACATTGGGATAAATGAAATTCCATGAAAACAACCCAGGAAGAGATTTCCTTTTCGTATGTTTTGTGCTTGTGGGCACTACTTATTGTAAATCAATATAATCAAAAAGTAGTTTGTGGATGTATCTACAGTTTTACCGCATTTGTTATAATGTGTACATGTACAAGACTAGAAAACAATGGAGGTTAGGCTAAGTTGGTTTTGCTAAAATTGTTGTATCTTCCGTAGGAGTGTGTTACTAGGTGTATGTCTATACACTTGTAATTTTTTTATTAAAATGATTTACAAAGAGTTGGTCTGAGAATGGCAAGAATGTACCAGAATCCAAAATAATAGCCATACTTCAAAATGAATGCCAATATTGCATGTGATATAATATTAAGTGGAAGTAAATGAAGGTATAGTGAATTGCGTTACGCAAGCATGCAAACTTCTCTGATAATATGTGCAGAATAAACATAAATTTGGCCGAACAGGAAGCACGAAAGTATTTCCATGTTCGTGTTTAGCGTAGGAACATGTCAAACAAAGTTTGTCGGATACATCGACTTTGTGAACAAGAGATACATTATTCCTGAGAAGCTTGCTCGGAGGTTCCCTTGAGGCTGCAAATGAGCTAACCTACTCTCCTTCTTTGTACCTTTGAAAGTTTTATATACAAACACGTCCTAAAGTATATTTGGTAGTAGACTATCGTCACCTAAGATAAAACATGAGACTGTTATAAGTAGACATTTGATAGGATATAGGGTGTAAATGACTATTCACCTGATTTATGGTCTTCATTATATGGTTTTTTTTTGGCTTAATGTTAAAATAACATTAAGTAAACAAGTTAACCTTCTTTGGAGAAATATTTTCGTCATTCTTAAGTTAGCAAGCAAACTTACGCACTAATGCTAAGTCTTTGCTGTCAACAAGGTTGTTGAAGCTCTAAACGTCTATGAAAAATCCAATGATGTTGGTTAACTGAAGGATAAAAACAGGTCTAAATTGTCTAGGGATATTTGTTAATATTTTTCTAAATGGCTGCAAATACTTTGAATGCATCCTTAAAATTTACGATCGTTTCTCCTGCATAGCTTAACTGTTTTATAAATATTCCATAATAGAATACCTGATAAATGAGTAAACTCAAGGATACGTTAAATATATATATTTAATGATTTTCATAATCATATTTCTAGACCACTGTTAATTTTCGTTGTTATTGCAGATACTTCTAAAGATGGCGGAAGAAGTAAAAAAGGCACAATGGAAAAGGCTTTTTCACCTCGGCAAACAATCGCCTGAAATCCCAAATACCTCCAACCTAAGAATAACCTCAAGATAAAACCAAGCAATCGGTGAAAATGTCTCTAAGATTATGGAAATAAAATGGCCATCAATAATGTTCCTTCATGCACCTGACTACCTCTTACTTGTTTTGTCTCTGTTGTTGATTCTAACGAAGAGTGAAAGTGGAAACACATTGACTAGAATAGTCCAAACACGCTACGGAAAGCTGCAGGGGATAGTGAAGCCTATGAACCCAGCGAAGCATTTGAAGCCTATAGAGGCGTTTCTAGGAGTGCCATACGCCACGCCTCCTATTGCGAGCAATAGATTCAGCCCTACTCGCACCCCATCACCTTGGGAGGGTGTTTTGGTTGCTGACAAGATGAGTCCAGTTTGTCCTCAACAACCTCCTGACATTACTAACGACACTGCAGCGCTGTTGAGAATGCCTGTGGGGAGACTGAGGTACCTGCGGAGGTTGCTGCCAGAATTGAGGAATCAGAGTGAAGACTGCCTCTACCTCAATATCTACGCTCCAGCGCAAGGTAAGGCTATTGCATTTGCTTTACATTTCATGAAATAGTTTTAAAAATCATGCATAGCTCTTCTTTGTACAGACAGATACATTTATAGGTCTAGCAAGAGGAAACCTAGGCAACTGCAGCATTCGTGTACTTCTGTGCAGCCTGCTTTACTTCAGAACCGATCGGAATTTAGATACCTGACAAGAAGCATACTCTTTGTTACAGTAAGGATGGCAAGAGTCCTCTCTTACTTTTGTTAATTCATATCGGTAAGGTTAATCCGACAGTATGTAATCAACTCAGACTGCCTCGTACCCGAATGTTCTATAAACATCTCTTACTAATAGTCTTAACATAAGTTCTCGAGGCAAGCTTCATCAATAACCTTATGGATTGAAGGAAAATCGAGGATTATATTGGTTTTTGTTACATTATCTAAGTTACGTATTAAATGTTTGGCTTAAAATTCTTCCCAACATAAATTTTATGTGTAATAAGTCAAGATAAAGCTATATCTCTATCAAAAAGATTGACTACAAAGCTAACGTAATTAAAAATAACACAATTAATAATACGTTAAATTGAAACTGTGCGAACGGCATATCTATTTCAGAACTAAAAGATTAAAGTCATATGTAAATAACAAAATTTATATGTTTCTTTTAGATGAATAAGGACTTCAAAACGTATCCATAAATTGCTTGAAACTATGTTAAGAAAATTCAATAGGTGTAATAATAACCTATTGCATTCCAACAGATTCATTCACTATTGTGTGTTTAAAATAGCATTTTGAATAAGCTTGAAGTCGCTTTGAATATGAGTTTTTCGATCACGGCCTTAAAATTGTGCATATAAAGAGTACTAAACAAAAACTGATAAACTGAAAAAATCTGTACTGGGGCACAACCTACTTGAGTAATTAAATAACTTATAATATATTAAATAAGATACTTGCATATTTAAATCATTTATCTCTATAGGATATGGGAGAAAACAATATAATATTAACTTTTTTATCTGTTACTTTAATATGTTGATTTAACACAATATCCATGGAGTAACATAGTCATCTAATATTTAAATAAATAAGGAATAGTACTTGCTTCTCATAAATTGAGTTTATGACTATCCAAACAATTGTTGAGACTTGGTCAACAATAAACAATAACCAAAATCAAATCAACTCAATGTGTTTTCATAGTCGTAACAACCACTGTCTGTTTAATGTTTAAATCTGGTGGGTATAAACTAATATTGGCTTTGCGTGTTTATTTATCATAGCTTCGCTTGATACACTTGAAACGCTCAGGCCTTATATGATGACAGGAAAATACATGATCTGAGAGACCTCTAACTTATTTAAAACAATTCGTTAGCTAGAGTACAAGGCACAAGGATAAGTCAGTTAGAAGACACAATAGTCAATTAGGATTGTCAATTGTAAGGCAATAAAGAATGAGGATCGTAAAATATTTTTATTTTTTAAACGTGGCTAGATTTTAATGCATGTTTTATGTATATTTTATCTAATAATAACAACTATAATTCTATGTCAATAAACAACTAATTTTTCTTTAAAGTAATAGCTTTGCCTTTTACTTTATTTTATTTTATGAAATTAATTACATTGTGTTCTCAGTTATCTTAGCTCTATAAATGCTTTTATTAATTATCTTCGAATTTTTAAGGTTGCCTATCCTTGTTTCCTGTACAGATGTGGCTGGAGGGAAGTTGACCAGACATCCTGTTCTGCTGTTTATTCATGGAGAGTCCTTTTCCTGGAACTCCGGAAATCCTTACGACGGAAGTGTGTTGGCCAGCTACGCAGACTTAGTTGTAGTAACTCTCAACTACAGGCTTGGCATTTTGGGTAAGAAATATAGTTTTTACCTTCTAGATAAACTTTAATATTGTAGTTGATTATATTTTGATAAATAATTTAAGAAATATATTGGAATTGGTGTCCATAATCACGTAATTTACGACATTCAAGATTATGCTTTAATCTATTCAATTAAAATTTATATAATTTGATTGAAGTATAATATATGTTTATTTATGCACGAAATAAAAGTAACAAATTGAGCTAATATTGATAAATATTTTACTGATTCAATTTAAAAGGTTTTAGAGTACCTGTAGTAAGTTTTAATAAATAAACACAATAATAAAACTCCATAAAAAAATGTTTGTAAGAGGATAGTTTTGGGTGAGTCTACTAATACAGGCCATTTACGTTTTAAATGAATTGAATACAAACTCCTTTTTGTAAAATAACTATAACAATATTAATGCATATTTCTCCGTTATCAATACATACATTTAAAAGTAAACAGATCAATTTAATTGAAATCCATTTATGAATTAGCGGATGTAATCATCTACAACCATTCATTAAAATGCTAGTGGTTAACGTGGCGTAGCTGAATAACAATCAATAAATACCATGATAAAACGTCACTATCATTTATATTATAATTTTAAATACTCATGGATTAATTCATTGACCTTAGTAATAAATAGGATATCAAAATTAAATTTGACTACATATACTCTCTATTCTATATAACAGTCATATAAATTCAGTGAACATGATCCTTTATGGGTGTTAGCACTGACTACCTACTACCTACCTGATTTTGGCAAATTTTAGATTAATGAATCTTATAACACACAATTAAGCTCATAAAAGAGCTCATAAAAAGAATCGTTATGAAACAAAATCCCATTACCTCCCAGCACTGCAGTAATGAAGACATTGTGTTAAAGTACACCTGGTGACGTTGAAGCTATTTATTTTGTATTTTTCTATGATTCGTGAAAATGTAAAAGTCATTACGGAAATACTTATTAATTTGTATGCAGATAGTTGCTCAAATAGTTTGCAATATCATCACCTTAGTGGATTTTGGTAATGAATGTTTTGTATTTAATTTGATTGTATCTTGGTAAATTTACAGTAAAACCTTTAAGTTTGTAAATTAATAATTTATTAATTTTGTAAATAAATATTTTTTTAATTCTGTTAATTTCATTTTTTCGTAATTTTGAGTTAATGGATATTTGGCTCCAAAGATACAGAACATAAAATGGCATATATTTTATCTAAATTAATGCATTACAAGTCGTAATTTAGATTTTAAATGTTGACTGAATATACTAATTTAAATAACTCGTTTAACATTGGAATCGAAGCAGATCTTATTTTAATACTTTATACAGAAGATATATATAAATAATAAAAAATCCAACACTAAGTCGCAAACCTTGTTAAGAGAATAATGTTGTTATAATTAGCTAGGCACAACAAATCCATCGAAAGTAGAGTTAATGAAATATCTGACACTTTTTAATGATAGATAGTTTACTCTTTGAAATAATAATATATAAGTAGAAATGTTAAAAAAAATAACCAAGGGCTCTACTTCTGGGTCTTGAAATGTATATATTATTATTTATTATAAAGCTTTGCCACGTAACTGGTAACAGCTATGTGTTTGGTTAAATGAGCTGAACAAGGCATGAACAGGGACGCACAAACACCACCATACATGTTTTAGGGATGTGTTGCAGTTTTCCAGCTCATAATGGTATAGAATTGTTTCGTTTTCGTAAATTTTAAAATTTGTGAATATTATCGGTTAAGTACCCAACTTTGGCAATTAAAAATACACTTTTTTGTATTAACTTAATCCATGACTATTATATTTTAACAACAGCCATAAATACTTATCCATATACATATATACCATATACTTATATGTCATATACTTACTTAATAGCCACATCAGCCAATATAAACCAGGTGCATCAGTGGTCCCGTTCTTAACTGACAAGCCACGCATTACTTTTGCAAGCCCAAGTGAAAAATTCCAGGAAAAACAAAGGAGACTAGAATCAAAATTGGTTATCATCAGTTTTTGGCAAAATTCTGTTATTAGTGGTGACTGTTGAAATTGTAATACTGAAATAGCCATTGTTACACAAATTCCAGGTGTATATTATGTAAAAAATCAAAATGGCTACAGTTAATATTTAGCCTCTTAAACAGTGCGCTTGTGTCAAAATTTTAATCCTGCAGTCTTTAGCCCTATGATGCAATATAAAAGAATCCATAGCTTACAAACTATCTTTTTTACCAGCTAAAAAAACAATGTTGAAATAAACTTAAACCATTTACGGTTTTTAACATATCCATTTACGGTCAATGGGTGGTTAGTTAGTAATTAAAACGGTCGTCAGAAATCAGAAATTTACATTGCAACAATTCTACTAATCATTCTTTTGGTGGCTAAACCCATGTTTTAAATGGTCGTTAAATTGATTTAATGACCATGAAAAACAGGGTTCCGTTGTAACATTTGAACAATATAACATTTTTAACACTGGTACACCTTATACCGTAACTTTTTCTTCATACATTTATCATTACACATACCAACAGTCTAAAATGTTTGAATAAGAAATATTTCCCCAGGTTTCCTGAACGCCAACGCCGCCCCTCATCTGAAGGCCCGGGTGGCCAACTACGGTCTGATGGACCAAGTCGCAGCTCTTCACTGGGTGCAGCAAAACATCGCTCTGTTCGGTGGTGACCCTGGAAGTGTAACACTTATGGGACATGGGACAGGAGCTGCATGCATACATCTGCTCATCATGTCTCCAACCGTCATGCCAGGTTTGAAATACTTTTGTATGAGGGTTTTTTTACAATTTATTATGTTATTTACTGTAATACACCACAATACACACTGAACAGGACACGACATTTTGGTAGTGACTGTACCACAGTGTTTATGAAAAGATTCACAAATGTTTCATGGTAACAACAAAAACATAATATAAACTCTTTTTGGGCCTAACTAGTATTTAATTTCTGCTAGTGGTTGTGTCACAGTATATTTAAGTGATTTAATTGCCAAAAGCCCAGTTTGGTGAACAAACACGGATCTTTCTTTGCGATTTTGAAACTTGATTTACACTAGCTAAACATAATTCTAATCATTGACATTAATTGACATAATTGTTCAAACATATTTTCCGTTAAGATTCTTTTAGCAAATCCTAATTTAATGATGCACTTGACAGGATAAGTGTGAACAAGTCTTATAATTTGAGTCTTATAAGTGAGGTTTTGCATAATTTGAAATTAAAGTCAAGCCTGGTATGTGCCTACTGGTAAGTGTTTAGACCAATACCTGATACAGATTATTATATGCATCATTCTCAAATACCATCTTAAAACAGTTTTCCAAGATCGAACTACATAATAATGTTACAATTTGAGAACCAACCGGTTATATTAAGCTATCTGGTAAATATTTTACAAACTTTAGAACCATGCTGCGTATCTATTTCCACCAGTAATGAACTAGTACTGTAACAATAATAACCCCCGCTAAAACAGTAGCTATGCAAACCTCATTTTTATAAGGTCCACTTAAAATGCTTGTAGCAAAACCAAAATAATGTTCTAATAAATTAGGTTAACAGCTTAGATACCAATAATATAAAACAAACAATCCAGTTTATACTGGCTAGACTTCTCACACCACTAGTGATTGGCCGACGCAAACAGCTTGAACTTTAACGCTAGTTAAACTACCTTAATTAGCACAGTTGCGGAAACTACAACATGGAATAGCCAATGGAAAATTGGCTGATTGGGAAAGTCGATAGCGTTTTAAAACCCTAAACACCTGTTGGTTCAAAACATGAATTTTACTTCTGGGCTAATGATATAAGTAATGCCATAATAGGGCTGTTAGACGGGAATTGACATCATCAGATTTTTTGTTGAAAGTGAGAGTATAAAGGAATACGTGGAGATCATTGACTTAGTTGAAATGGAATGGCCTGAATTACGTAATATTACCACATAATGTGTTGATGTTATTAGTAAACGTCTGTAGTCTAAAGTCAAGGATATTTAGATGTATTTAGATAAAGCTACGTCACTAATATTCTTTATACCATTTACCCTTCCTCCTTACTTACACCCAATAACCACCCCACTAATTACCTCTTTTCCGGTCCAACAGCCCTGCTATGACACATATCTGATGTTATATATTTATCTGGGTAGTAATGCATTGATTTATTTCATGACAGGTCTTTTCCATCGGGCAGTTCTTCTCTCAGGATCGGCTCTTAGCTCCTGGGCGATCGTTGAGGACCCAGTGACGTCAGCTATGAAGCTGGCCAAACAAGTGAATTGTTCCGTTCCCGACGACCTATTCAAAGATCACGAGGAGATCGTAGACTGCCTCCGAGACGTTCCCCTAGAAGATCTAATGCGTAATGACGTTCCTGCCCCTGCTTACCTCAGCTCCTTCGGCCCCAGCGTAGACGGGGTAGTCATCAAGACTGACTTCCGAGAAGATCTTCTAACCCACTTCCTGCCAGACATGCAGGGTCTCAACGTCAATGTCAAGAGAAGTGGGGAGTTCATGGGCGCTAACAGATACGATTTGCTCTTCGGAGTCGTTACTAGTGAAGCCCTTTGGAGGTTTTCCTCCACTGACATTCAAAGTGGTTTTGATTTCGAAAGGCGGGATAAGATATTAAGGACTTACGTTAGGAACGCGTATATCTATCACCTTTCGGAGATATTTTTGACCATAGTGAACGAGTATACGGACTGGGAAAGAACAGTGGTTCACCCGATCAACACTAGAGACGCTACTGTCGGTGCGTTGAGTGACGCACAGTTCGTGGCTCCTGTGGTACAGACAGGGGATTTACTTAGTACTCCTTTGGCAAATGTGGACACTTCCAGTCAACTGAACACGAGGTCGTACTTCTACGTGTTTGATTATCAGACGAAGGATGGGGACTATCCTCAGGTAAATAATACAGTGGTTATAAAATTGTACATACAAATTATTACCTAACAGCATTATAATATCCTTTAAAAATGTACACAATTAATAGAATTTTAAAAATAAGAATTTATTTTATTCATAACGATTATTGTGGTTCAACAAAAACCGTGTAGGTGTGTGTTGTTCACATCCTTATCATTTGAGAAAAGAACATTTTTAGCAAAACATAGGACGTGTTTAGTTAAAAATATTTGAACGTATTATCTTAGAAATAAAGTCAATGGTATTATGTTCATTTTAATTTTTTTTTGGGTACGTAACATGGAAAATTTTTTTTTATATTTTTAAAATTATTTTATTATTGGATAAAGTCTCTGGTAACAGAAATGCCAATTGCATGGCTCTAAAATAAGTCGTAAAGTAAATTATTTAATGAATGAATTCATTTATTCTTCAACACGTGTGATGCTATTTGTATTTACTACTAATATAATTTTTATTTACTACTGTAATAATAATTCAAATTCATCATTCGACTATTTGTAAATTTACTTGACAATTGTGGATAAAAACATAACACAGATAAGACTTGCCTTAAGTACAACATTCACGATATTATACGTCAAGATATGAATGCTATTAGTGTAAGTGCTCTTAGAGCCATTACATTTGTGGTATTGTTGTAGAGGCTGGGTACAGTCCACGGGGACGAATTGACCTACTTCTTGGGAGCTCCTCTAGTTGATGGTTTCTCTCATTTCCTCAAAAACTACACCAAGTCTGAGATTGCGCTGTGTGAGTCCGTCATAACCTACCTCACCAACTTCATCAAAACAGGGTAAGAGATTGATAACTGTTAGTTTTTCACTTACCTTTACTAAATAACGATGAATATTTATCTTGTCATAAAAATTTGTTACATTGATTATGAAAATATTTTAAATTTATCAATCATAACCGAAATGGAAAAATCTAATTTTTTTTGACAAAGTCAAGCTGTAGAGTGCTTTGAAATCACAAAGAATTGCAGTACATACACGTGACATATACATGCACATCTCAAATCTATTATACCTCCTACAATGGGCTCTTAAATAAAAATAGTCGTGGATGTATATATAGGCCTAATAATCCTTCACTAGAGCCAAAAAAAAAACAGAAACATGTATTATGGATGCTACATTAAACACTTAAACTGTTGAGTGCGATGTATTGATGTTTTAAATAGAATAAGAATTAGTGGCCATAATTTATTAAAGACCATAATTTTTTAAGAACCTAAACTTAAACTAGTTGTAATTGTAGTCACAAAGACGTACACAATACTTAGTTTAAGAACCAAGCACTTTGTTTCCAAACGCACTACGTAATGATTTTCTATGATGCAAAATTGTTTACGATAACATTAAAAATTATATTTCAATCAAATAAATAACAATGCGGAATTAAATTGGTAAAAGCTATTCACTAAAACCTAATTTGCCATCATCTCAATGTAGGTCATAAATATATTCGATTATTATATTATTGGATACAAACAAAAGTTGGAATAAAGCTGTTACCACATGGCATTTAAAAACATTTTCAATGCACCTACAAATAAATTCCACTTGTTTTGAATTTAGCTATAATGCTTAATTGTAACTGTGTATTTTTATCTAAATCACTTTCGATCGAAAACGTCAACTTGAATCTCACAAAAAATAATCCCTTAAAAAACCTATAAAGCCACCAGAGAATTATTTACATTGAATACTTTTTGCGTTTTCATCGCTAAATCAATCGCCATTTGTCAATTGAGATTTTTATTAACCTCGTTATTGAATCACCAATTAAATGTCTAGTGTCTCTACCACGATGAGGGAATATTGGATGTCAGAGGGTGGCAGGGGGGTTTTAGAGGGGGGCGTAATTTCAGGGTGAAGGGGGAATCATCAGTGGAGAGTGTTCGATAACGAATTGTCAAGGCTGACATGTCAGAGGGCCAATTTCGAAACACTATACTGAATCCATACTGTCAGATGTGACGTTGTAACGTGATAAAATATTACTTATAATCAAAGTTCTAAAATAAAATTTAACAATAAACTATACATACTATTTTCTACGACATTTGGTGGTGTTTCAGATGGCTAGTTTGATAATCCAGAGATTTTATTTTATTTAACTTTGATAGTCCAGCTTGAAAATTGATTTAAAAGTAAAATGCGTTTAAGAAAATCGTTTATTGTACAGGTGTTAAAAACATTATTTTGATTTATAAACATAAGTAACAAAGCCTTTGTAAATAATAAGTTTGAATATATAAGCCAAAGGCTTAGCACGATAGGACTAAATCTAAAACAAATACATACAACAATTAATGCAATAAGTCTTTCAATCAAACATGCGAATTCGTCATACTTTTTACTAATATGGAACAAATTAATATTAGATGCGCAAATAAAAATAAAAATATACAAGTTCAAATTTATTATGAATAAAGTTTGTATATAGACTGTCTTACTTTAGATTGGCATTTGTTGTATTAAACTGTCTGAATAACGATTGAACTACGATGAAATCTTGTTTCAATATTACATTCTTTGAAAGACTTTCTTGAAGACATGATCCAATTTAAAAGTATTGTCCTGAATGCAACTCACGTTTACGTCAGTTACATTCTCCAAGCATATAATGGTATGTCCTGTATGAACTAAAAGTATGCCAGAGGCTAGTTTAAAGATGAAAATCAATATTCGCCTGGAATTTGTGGAAGTAAAGAAGGTATAAATTAATACAACTTAATTGAAATCTATCAAAGAGTTAGAGAACATATTGAATAATTAATTATTTTTTAAATTTGTATAGCGTGTATATTCAGAGTTGAAAACAAATGTTCATTATGTGTGGACAGTTCTTGCTACAGTTAATGCACATTACAGACGGTTTTATGGTTTCAGGAATCCAAACGATAAGGACAAACAGGATGCCTCCCTTCCTATTTCTAAGGAGAGGAACAGATTCAGATCCATTGTATGGGAGGAGTATGACCCAGTTCACCAGAAGTATCTGGAAATAGGTCAGTATTTACATGTTTATGAATACCTTACCGTGGTTTAGAGGAAAGGCAAGAATCTTTTTTAATGAGTGTATGCATTAAAGTATGCAATGCATCTTCAATGATGTGGATCATTATTATTAACCACTCCGTCCGGAACTTGTATATCTTGTTACTGATGTATTTTTCCATCTTTTTTATATAATTTAATCTCAAATTTCACAAGTTGTTCGATTATTTACCAGCTTTTTTTAATAAATGATAGAAAATACTCCTGCAGCCTAGTATTGTTCTACAATGTTTGTTTTATAACACTATTAAGTGTTTACCTTTGGCGATGCAGCCAAATATTCAATATTATTTTCTAAGTTTTGCATTATGAGATTTATTTTCGTATCATTATTCTGTTCTTGATCTGTATAGCAAATTTGCTAGGTTTAAAAAAAAAAAATCAAACCAATTAGTTTTTTTGTTAATATGTTGAATATAAATACTATTAATTTACTTGCGTTATTGACTTTTTTATTTTAAATGTAGGACAATCTTTTTATTTTAAATTTTTCATAATGGTGAAACCCAAACCATGATATGTTCGTCTTTAAGCCTTAATTAATTAACTAACCATCATAATTTACAATACTTAGAGCATTTTCTTGTCTTGCAACACGTATAGATTTATAGCAGAGTAAACAAATTATAATAATACTTATTTGATAATTTATTTATACAGTGTACATATTACAGTTTGTTTGACGTTTTTATTTTGTAAGTTCAACAGATATTGAGGGTGTGTATGACAATAAAAAACACTATAAATATAATTATTAATTGTATGTCTAAGATTTAGAATTTTTTACCAACAACATACTATGTAGACAGTTGTCCTTGGTATGCACCATTACATAATATCAGTTAGATTCCTCCTATCATACTAATAATAATAACTAGCTGTTACCACGGGCTTCACTCCGTTTGACTTCATAAGTATTAATAACATTACTGATTGGTTGGATTGGTTAGGTTAGGCTGATATAAACAAATCTGAATACAGTATTGCAAAAAAATAAGTACAGCTGATGTATTTTAACATTAGGTATATGGAAAGTTCCCTTTAGAAAGGAATTACGACCTTAAAGGACAATTATTTATGAAGTAATAGATAGTTTTGCGCAAGATTTCTCGTCATGACGAACATTTTAAATGGTTTATGGGAGTGTGATTTGTAGTTTTCTCAAAAGTTTATGGGTACTTTTGGCTTTATATATAGATTATCATATTAATAAATAAATACAGTATATCATTTTCTGATATTTATCTTATCATCGCAGAATTGTAATGATTTCCATTTACCATTTCCCAGGCCTCAAGCCCCGCGTGAAGAACCACTACAGGGCCCACCAGCTGTCAGTATGGCTGAGGTTGATCCCCGAGCTCCATCGTGCAGGAATGGAGGACGCCGCAGCTCGCCACAATCTCTTCCGCAACCACGGTGACTCCAGCCTGTACGACGGCGCAGTTCGGCCCGACCCTCTCTCGCGCACCGACGACCTCCGCCGTCGAGGGTCCCTGAACGGAACCGTGGCCGAGGTCGTCCTACCTATCACAACAATGGAAACCATGGTAACCACCTGTGTCAGTGTGATCGGCAATCAAGGCTACGTCAATCCTCACGTATCTAACACCACAGACACTCTAGCTAGTCTAGAAGCAGCTGGTTACGCAGCGTACAGCACAGCTCTCAGTGTCACCATAGCTATCGGCTGCTCACTTCTTGTCCTGAACATCCTCATATTCGCTGGAGTGTATTATCAACGGGACAAAACGAGATTGGAGATTAAGAATCTTCAACAGCAAAGGAACTATGAGAGTGGAACTGTAAAGGGTCATTATCACAAGCATAGATCGTCTGCGAGTGTGATCGTCGATGTGGCAAGAGAAGCTTCTAGCGAATCTTTGTCCTCTCCGATGCATCACCATCATCCTGTAGCAACTCTTCCGAGACCGCACCCCCATCCTAGGATACCTACGATGGCGACGCTTCCGAGGAATATCAGTCTTCTGAGGACTCCGGAACCTCCCATGGTCACTTCTCCTCCTAACGGATCAGTCACGATGCACATGTCACTCCCAAGGCCACCACCTCCTCCCAAGTGCAAGTCGCCTCCCGAGATGACTCCCATGGGCAACCACGTGTCTCCTACATCAAACAATCCCCCTAAAAGTGCTTTAAAGGTGCCAGCTGCCGCCATGAACGAGATGAGGGTATGATACGTAAGACAGACTGATGTTAGAGGACGTTCTGTGCTGGTACTTTTTTCTTGTGTATAAAGACTTTCGAGCATGTAAATAGTTTATGGTTTGTAGGTTCTTGTTTTTTTTTTTTTTTTTTTTTTTTTTTTTTTGAGAGAGAGAGTTGATTAAAACGTACCTTTCTGTGATATTGGGTATAGATCAAACAATTTATTTCGAGTTAATTAGACCTACAGGGTGGCCAAAAATCCCTTTACACAATATTGCAGTAGGTATTACACTGTTATAAACACGACTGATCAGCAAATATACATACGTGAGTAGTAAGGCAACAGTGGGGGAAGATAATGAAGCCTCACTCTCCCTTCCCAACCACCGCCACAGCCCTAGGATGCGGCGACACCCAGTAGAGAGCGAGGGCAGCCTTTGCACGAGTCTCTCCGGAAATACTGAAACGAATGAGCTAACGAACTTGGAGTCGAATCAAGCTTTGCCAAGACAATGTAGGTATGCATGGCGATTTTTTGGACTAAAAATTATGTTTACTTGGTGTAGTCCACAGTAAATTTCTGATTAAAATAGATTTCTTTGGTTTAAATCAACACCAATTAAAATTAACTTTAGTGTAAAGGGACTTTTCGGCCACCATGTAAAGCTAAGTCGGTTTATTATCTAAATATGTCCTTTTTTAATCCACATAGAGCATTTTATTTATAAATGTTTTAAAACACAAACAAAATTTGTAAATTTAATTGTAGTATTTTCGTTTTGAATCTCTGTATATATATCCCTTTAAACTAAATCGCATCTGCTCATAATTAAACAATATCTTATGAGAGTTTGACATTTATTTATACCAACACCATTAATTCTTTTACTTACTTAGTCATTTACCGGCATCTTTTGTAAATTTGCGATGAAAATCTTTAAGGGCTTGTTGTAAAAAGCAAACACCGACAAATTTCAAAGAAAAATTCCATTCCTAAATTGTTTCATATAAATTTACAATGAACCTACCATACTACCTGACTATTTATGGGATTCTCAGTTATTCCTTTTATTATTATTTTTATTTATTCGCTTTCGTGGTTCGTTTTATTCGGAATGTTCTGTGAAAATATTTAAACAGGAAACAAATTGACATGTTGTTGTTTTTTTATTTCCTCACTATTGCATATGATTTGTATTTAAGACTCGTTAAACAGTTTTGCTAACATTTAAAAACACTCCTGAGATTTTTGATACAAGCAAACTAATAAGACTATACTTGAGTAGGCCTACTACAGGACGATTTGTAAATAGGATGTTTATCATTTAATTTATTACAGTACCGATTATAATGTAACAAAAAAGAAATATTGACTGCGTATTTCATAGCTTGGATACCCCTCATAGTTGCTAAGAAAACACAATTAAACAATACAGTCATAAATAAAATCAAAGGTATTTATTTTATTACATCTATAGATTTGTGGTTAATGTTTTAGCTATTTTAAGCAGCAAACCACTAAAGGAAAAATATAGTGGTTATGTACTTTTCTTCGCAGTAAAACAAACATTTTATCAACCTAAGCTCTCGAACTTTTTACGATGAATTCTTACTTAAAAGAACGGTGGGAAAGAAATAAGCCGATTTAAACGAATACGGCAAATCAGTTCAGAAAGAGTGCTCTAGTATGTTCCCTTGAGGTAGGCAGATGTGGCTGTCATCCAGGCGTGCTTCTATTCATGTAAGTATAGACGTTTCTTGTGATTGAATGAACAAGCCTGAGAGAAAGTTTTTACAAAGTAACATTACTTATTTTTTTCCTGCACGTGTTCTTATAAAACTTATTGAAGTGTATGCATTAAGAGAATCTCTACTTCTTATATTTTCAATTCGTTAGTGTGAAAATATATTAAATATTAACACAATTTGTATTATTCGGTAATAAAAGCGTGACGAATTTATGTATTTATGGAATATGATACATCGCTAGATGGCCATCATTTGAATATTATTTTTAAGTACCTGGCAATATTCCATATCTATTTTACCACAACGTGATTTGTGGTAGATTTTTTCGCAATTTTTTATCAATACCAATTTAAAATAAAATACATTTTAATCTTTTTACTAAACCATAATAATTAATCAATACTAAATATGTCTTTTTATTTAATACTTTTTGAAGTTTTCATTGAAACGGCAACCATATTAAAGTAGATATTTAAAGCCGAGTATGAATGGAGATGAGTGTAGTATGAGTGGCACGACCTTGTAGTCTTCTTAGTGACTAAGGCCGACATATTCCTTAGACATAGCTGTTAATTAATAGACCATACATCCAATGGCAACTAAGGGATCTACAGTTTATAGTGGAATCAAAACCACATGTTTTCCTTCTAATTAAATTAACGAATTTGTCTAATTATCAGGACAAAACTACGGATATTCGTAGTACTCACTAGTGCGGACATTAATCTACACCAAGGAATTTTGCTCAATGAATCTATGAATAAGAAAATCTCTACATGAAGGTTAGAATCCTAAATTAAATCTTTAAATCTCAAAATATTTAGGAGACTTTTGTAACTCTATATAATAAACAGTTGATTACCGGCTGTACCGAAAGTGCCACGACGTTTTATGATCATAATCCATACCGAAACTGCCACGGCAATTAGTGAGGATTAAAAAGAGGCCATACTAACTTTGTACTTATTTAAATCAAGTAATAGAAAAAGTCATTTAATTACCGATAAAGGCAGAAATAATTTTGTTCTAAAGGATTAAGATTGCAATGGAATGTAAAATTGTTCTTACTAAATCTATTATATGAATTCTCTTAACCCGTTATAATGAATAACTGTTAAAAAAACTCGATATACATATATTTTATCATAAATTTTAAGTTTATAAATATACCAAGGTTTAGGTAGGAATCATCAAAATTACACAACAAAAAACATCATTTAATGCACATAATGGATACGTGTCCTGAAGTATAAATAAAACACAATTGTGATATATATGTTGATCATATTTGGCAAATTTAATGATTTCATCCTATAATATTAATATTTGGCAAACAAACACTTTTTAGCTTCGCCGTAGCAGTAAACCCTACGTAGGTATTTGTTAAATCTAATGTTATTTAAATATGGAATAAATATCTCTTGTTTATGGACAATTTTAGTAAGAATCCAATCAATCAAATTGAAATTCTCCTAGTGTGCAGGTTTGATGCGGGCTGTGGTGGAGGTAATGTATTTGGAATGAGCTGGAAATACCATAAACACATGTTTTTTTTTTCAAAAATGAGTTGGAAATACTGCGTGCACTGCGTCCCAATTGTCTTAGGAATTTGGGTCCAAGTATGAGATCCTTTGTGATGACTAGAATACACGAAATTGAGTTCGAGCCTGTCCAGATTTTGTTTAGTATGAAATTTAAAAAATCTGAATTATGTGTAAAAATAATTATAAATCAATAATGAATAATCTACTCTGAAATATAGTTTTCTTGAAAATTTGTTCTATTCAGATTTAAAGTACAGTACGAGTTCTTATATATAATATCTACTAAATAAATATTGGTTGCAGCATGATAAAAACTGTACCTTTTTTATATACGCGTTAAAATCGTTTTAGTTACTGTGAAGCATTTTGCTCGACATCCTCCCCGTCTTTTTCTCTAACAAAACCACTTTCTTATTACGTCTACTAACAACGCCGCACACCCTCTCTTCGGTTCAAATATCTTATCCTCCATCGAAAGACTATCAACTAAGTATAACTAACACACCAATACGCTTACTACTAACCCTCTGAAGGATAGCACAAAACTGTTGAGAAATACCGAATTTGAAAAATATACCCTTACGCGAATCGAGCAAATAGTTGGGCATTCCACTGAGATTCCACTTGACCACTCCTCTGCAGGGCATGGTGGTTGGTACAGTAGTTGTAGTTCTGCAGCCTAGCGTCTTGGGTGAATAAAAATATTTTTGAATATTACAGTTTTACAGTATTATATTAGTATTTGATCATTTCTAGTGTAATTAAAAACGTCAAACATCAAACGTCAAAACGTGCTATATAAGTGCTATAAAAAGAATTTTATTGTAGAAATTGCATTGAGGTCAAGACTAAATTTCTTTACTTGTATATTATTACACTTTTTAAGTAATTATTGTTCAATAATTATATCCACAGGGATTGCTTTAAAACAAATACATTAATGATTAATAAAAAAACATGGACTTACTTTTAACCAATTGGAATAGGATTTTAGTCATTTAATATTTCCCAGTTACATAGATGCTTTGCAAATCTGTCATGTACATTACAAGATGATAATGTGGTCCTGGTTGAGAGGACATGATATATCAATGTCACTAGAGTCTGTCTATATTAAGGTTTAGTTTAGCGTTACTATGGACCTTACACAGGCTATATAATGCTGTCTTCCTTATAATGTTACTTACTAGAATTAAATCCACTAATTGTTTATGTATTTACCGTTAATTTAGATTCTCAATAACGATATTAATAACAATAAATAAGTAACAATACATTATTATTACAGTTTTTGGGTATTCAAACCTACTTTTTTTTATTAAATTGAACGTATTGCACCCTTAGCTTATAAAGAGTGGCCCAATTAATTTTAGTTTCCTATTTATAATTTATGAAAAAGTACACCAAGATGTACATTATCTTAAACTTTATTTTATGAACAAAATCTTAGAAAATTTTCATTAGCAGTGGAAAATGATATCAGGAAAATTGCCACCTCTGGCCCTCTTACAGCAGTTGATTTTTCGAGGTAATTTATATGACTCTTTGACAAGTTTCGAGAGTAATCCGGGCTATAATTTAGAAAATATATATCCTACAACATTTACAGTTTATTAACGTGGACACGAATCTAAAAAAAAATCCATAGACGTTAAATCACATGATTTTGGAGTAAAGAAATTAAGTGAACTCTGAACTTTGCATCCAAAGTTGCACGTGATGTGTTGCATGTTGCGCCGTCATGTTGAAAGATGGTTCTCGCTTGGTGTTCCGGTGTTGGAAGGATTAGCCGTTAAAGATAACGTTGCCCAGGGTACGCCCGATTGTGGTATGTGGTCAGCAATCT